CTTCATAGCCTTTTGGCACAATAGATTGAAACAAAGTTAGTTTCATTGTCAAAAGCGGGTTCTTGTAGTGCGAGCATTTCCAACGTAACTTAACTTGAAGCTCGCAAAGCTATTTTCGAATAGAAACGTGCAATTATTTGCTGCGCACTAATAATGGGAGTAGACGAAGTTTCATTATTGCACGATCTCAATAGAGTCGACTTCATAACTGAGCAACGCGCGATTGAAAATTTTTAATAAACTCCCTGAAAAATGGATCGGGAGTAATGTTTTATTGTTGCTCCTAGGAATTCAAACAGTTGTTTGTCAAAAAATTAATGGGGGTCTTCTGAAAGGAAAAACGAGTTATTTATTGCCCTTGGCATCATACTTTTCAACTTAAAATGAAAAGCTCTGAAGGTTGTTGAAAAATGCCAATCTTTCCCAGCTGGCCCAAGCTGTATATTCCTTATCAACAGCAAAGTTGCATAATAGTCGCTTGCTTGTTGCTCTCACCGTCTATCATTAAACATTTACCTCCCAATGACATGCTAAAACGGATGCAAATACCATCACTTAAAAACTATAGTGCATATTTTACGTTGATTACAAACATTGCACACGCCAGAATATCTCGAGTTTTTACGAGTTGGAAAAATGTTTTTTAACATTAAAAGGCAAAAACTGATATCAACCTTGTTTGACCTCGTATACAAATTGTAAACTAGATAATCCAATAGCAATTATTCGCAATTGTATTGTGACTGATCAATGCTTTGTGTTTTCCATGAAGCGAAAGGAAAAGCGTTCCAATTTTTGCCATTCTAAATCCAAGCAAATTGGAATATAATTTCGCTTTATCGCATCGCCGTTGAATATTATTGTCAGTTACAAAGAGCTGAGTTTAACGCCTGCATTAACACGACAAGTTTGCGAAGAAGGGTAAATATCTCCCTTTCAAAGTTCAACTTGGCAAAAGAGTGACGTATTTTATCGGTCTATTTTAAAGGGCAGAAGACATCAGAAGGCACAACTATGCTTACAAACTTTTCTTTTATTGTTGTCAAGTGTCTTGGGAGGCGATGAGATGCCTTGCTGTGAATTAATGAAGATCGCGCCCGCTTTAGAACTTTGAAAAGTTAGACACGTTTTTTCGGGAAACTTTCACTAAAAGCCCCCCAATATAGGCGAAGTTGTGACAGTGATAGGGGCATTTGCAGCTGAGTATTCTCTACAGTCAATGGAGTTTCAGTTTGCATTGTAATTCAGTCATCGTTTTGAAGATACACTCATTTATTTACGAACCGCATTTCTTATGAAGGGGTGGTTTTATGAGGAGAAAATTTTAAGCTTTACACCGACAATTTATGAGCTTTTGAATGCTTCTTTGGTTCCGAGAAAATGATTTTATTCACAAAAGGAAACTATCGAGAAAAGTACAGCGTTCTGCTTGTTATTCTTAATCCGGTTTCCTCCTGGCACGGCCCATCTTGTGACAATAATAATGATGCTAAAGACTTGTCTTGTATTACATAACTAAAGTTTCAGTATTCAGACGAGAACTGAAGCAAAAATATAAAGCTCAAAGGAAACTCGATGCATTTTCGCGCATTGAAAGATTGATCTAGTTTCTTCTGATTTTGATTTTTGGGTCGGTTGCATGATTGTACTTTGTATGCACTTTAAATGAGGGATGAAACAATAATTATAATAAATATTTTATTGATTTGAGAAAAAATTACAGAATTTATTGGCTCTGAATTATCTGCCATTTTGTCGTTAAACAGGTGAAAATTGTATCCACATTGGAAAAATCCTAAAATGCAGGCAATTTTTCGACATGTCTGTAATTTAATTTGCTCGGAAAACGTTGAATTCTGTTAACATTGAGTGGAAAAGCACATTTTAGCCGCACGGGAAAAACAATTTGCTCAAATAGAAAAATGATTAACACCCGACTTTGCAATGCATTGTTCGAAATGATCCATTGAATGTCAAAGAATGTTAAGCGGGCAACTAAATTGACTGTGAAATCGTGAATTCTATATCGGATGGTTGTTTTCAACCATACATTTTTCGGGTGTTTTTTTTCGTGATTATGGTACAATGCAATAGTTTATCGGTGTTATTTATGTAATTTGCGTTTGAGGAATTCGATTAAATCATTCAATATCCAATGCAAATTGCCTATTTAATCAAAACTGTATGAAGAATTTCCATACAGTTACGATATATGCAACCTGTTCGGTTTGAAAGTCTTCAGAAAAAATGAAACTTCTGCATACACAGAAAATTTATAAGGATAAAAACGGCGTTTTCCCAGGGTTTGTATTTCCCGTTATTATTTTTATTTTATTTTTAGTCCTCTCACACTTGCATTCTTGCACTTATCAGGAGTCAACCTTGTTTGCATACACATTGAATTGAATTATCGTGCATTTACAAACTTGCAGATCGATTTCCATTTATTACGATGAAAAGCAGCATCGTGCTTGGAAAATAAATCGGAAAAATTAATTAAGAAATGCATTTCAATTTCGTTCAGTTGTAATGGCATCCAAGCATCGGCAATATCGTGATTTAATAAAGCCAATAGAAACATTTCCATTGGCTGGTTGATTTGCTAGAAAGTTCATCGGGCTCATTTCAATCGATATTCCTATACACACATTGAAACTGATCGGGGATTGTGATTTTTGCAATTATGTAGAACTCGTTTCCGTTCCACGTTCTTGTACTTTAACAAACGCAACTAAATAGCGAGGAGCTTCCATTTATGCCACGTTGATAACTGTTACTATGCAAAGCTGTAAATTCAAATTTAAAGCAAATTTTCGACTCGATATGCTTTACCAAATTTGCTCTCTTCGAAGTTATTAGAAAGCGAGAAAGAAAAGCGAAATATACCAAGTCAAGCAGAAAATTTAATTAAAGTTTCAGCATTAAACGGGCCGGGAGTTTCGGCAAGGTAAACAGCCGTTTTCCTTCCACAACGATTGCGGATAATTGGATTCTGCAATTTATCAATTATTGAAACAAATATGTGCTAATCATTCATCGAAATGCCGATATAGCCAAACGAGCGAAACCAGCTTGCATCTTTTATATTTAGTTAGGATGTTTTGGTGTTCAAATATTGAAAATACGGCTAAACTTCAGTTCAGCAAGAAGTGCCCTGTGGACGGTTTAAGAAAAAGAGAAAATCCACCTGATGCTCTATGAAGCACTAGCACTAAATCACCTGAAGGTGAAGTATGCTTGGAAATTTTTTGACATTTTTGACATTATTACAGTGCTCGAACACTAATATTTTGGAAGATCCTTTATTCGTGAGCTACAATACAACAACCGACCGACAATACGACGTCAACAGTTTGGTTCAAAATTTAAGCGTTGAAATTTGTGTTTTTATCGGCGTCGGGCTGAAGTATTACGCAGTATTCGTAGAAATCGCCAATCCAGAAGACTGCCACGTTTTCCAGAACTATTTCCTGGGTATTTGCCATGCTTCCACGCTGGCCATGTGGAAACTGTGCTCCGCCGAGCTGGCAGCGCAAAACCGAAGAAAATGCCGATTTCAGCCCAACCACAGCCGACACTACCATCCGAGGATCCATCGAAGATTCTGCGACTTTAAGTATATGCAGAGGAATGAGAATTGCCAGTGTATTCCGACGATGTTTGCTAATGACCTGAAGAAAGTGATTGGGATGCCCACTTGCTACGTACCGCCTTTGCCGGCTAGTTTATGTCAATATAGTGTGTGTGGAATGAGCAAATGTGCAACCACTCAGGACCAGAACATGTTTAATGTTAAATGTGAATGCCAGCGGCCGTTTTGTGAATCTGAACCTCAGCTAGGGACTAGTGTTCGACCTTTACTTAGGGAACTTGATAGAAAATAAACACTGTTATGTCCAGAAAATAATACACTTGTTATACTCTGGCTGGGATCTGAGCAACTAAAGGATTAAAAACTATTTTGGGGCTGATTTTTTTGAACTAGGTAACTGGCTCTTGGTTCAATATGTGGCACAATCCTAAGCTGTTAAAATCTGGCCGGCCAACCCCCATACGACCCCTACACTTATTTGTCTATGACCCTCATAAACCTTAAGCTCCATAAAATCGCACTTAATATTATGTTCCGGCCTTTTAGCGTATGTCACCGGAAGTTTATCAAACCACTCCATCTCGAAAGCATAAAAATTTCAGTGTTTATGTGCCCTTTTACTGCTCTTAATCAAATAACCGTAAACTTTTTCTTGCCGGCCATTCGCGGCGAAAAAGTAACGTATTAAGATTAATATTGGGATAAGAGATGCGGATCTATTTTCTTAATGTTGTTTGCCGCTGGTATTAATGATGATGAGATCGGTCGGTTTGTGGTTTATTGCATGTTGAGGTGCCTGCAAGGCACGCTTATTTTCCTACATTCTGTAAGTTTCGTAAACAAGCCATAAAGTTGGAAGTTGCCAGCTAAAATCACAGCAATACATTTTCGCTCGCACTAAAAGTCCCAAAACATTTACCTCGGTTTATGGTTGTTTGCACAATTTATGTACATGGGAATTGGATGATTGTGGCTGATCAATTTGCATAATTTATGATTTTTCTCCAAGTGAAAATAAACTTGAAAAATTCAAATTTCCAACTAACGTCCAAACTGGCAAAACACGCGAGGTGCCTTTCCAAATAATGTTCATTTTGCTTTATTACCTTCTTGTAGCCCTAATTGTGTGTAAAATTCTAAACTTGGACCTAACAGGCATCCAAAAACCGAACAGCTCATTAAAAGTGAGCAAACCACCCCTTTTCGGTCGCAACAAACCAGAATCTGCCCGAATATATCACGTAACGTGAAAACTACTCAGCTAATTAAAAGCAAAACACTTGTAAAAAGATCTAATTATCAAAACTACTCGTACTAATGAGGATATTTGCTACAGAGCTTTGTTTTCTCCACTGCAAACTGTTGGCAAGAAATCTAAAACTAATTGGGCTTTATGTGTTTGTTTCAGGAATTGCTAGCAGCATTTCAACAAACAAATTCCTGACGATGTTGATGTCTTTACTAAGCTGTTACATGGGACTTCCGTATGTTGGTGAGTATTTTATCTGAAAAAATCACTGCTGTTTGCCCAGAATTAAGTTTTACATGATTCAGGCCGGTTTTTTGGGTGTTTCTAGGTCTCAATTAGGGTTGTTGAACAGTGGGAAGTTGTTCACGTTCTTCATTATAAATTGGCAACGACAACGCTCTAAATTGCCAGTCCTAGAAACATCCAAAAAATGGCGAGTTCCATGAATTTTGGTGTAAAATCCAGTTTTCCAATTTTAAACAAAATTGAATTCATTGAACGTTTCAGTTGATAGAAAGCGCTATCCGTCTTACCGACCTAATTGACTATTTACTAACCATTCCAGTAGGAAATAAAAAAGAGCAACATCACATAAAACATCTAAACATTTTTATCGAAAAGGAGAGCTCATAAATCACTCAAACACACTGAGACCCATTTAGATCGTCTTTTCAATGAAAATCCCGTAATTTAAAGGAAAATAGCAGCGAAAAGTTTACCCATTCAAGTCATTTTCTGTCAGTTATATAGTTACTAACTCGGCTTAAAATGGAAATTTTGCATTTTCGACTAATAAAATTCAAACGAACGGTTTGCAACATTGAAAAAAAAACGCCGTTTAACAAAAAAGTTTGTTATTTTATTTTTATGCTTAACATATTTTAGCTTAAAACTTTCTGGTGCAAACATGAGTTTGGCGGAGGTGCGGTTAACAAAAGCAAAACAGTTACCAAATCACTCATGTAATTAGACTGGCTTTTAGTAATTACTAGCATAGCAATGTTTTGTGTCTATTTACCTCCAGAGTAGGAATTATAAATTTAGTGGCACACAGGGAAATGGGAGCATTCAATGGAGTTGCGGTTTATTCTATGTTTCCTAGACGTACTTATTAAAGATAATTAAAGAGAATCACGTGGATAACTAGAAATTGCAACATTAATTAGCTTTTCGTGCTTTCAGCAGGCATTTTTAGAGATACAAGTTTCGCTGCGTTTAAGCAATTAGCCACTCACTGGGGATTCAATTGAAAAAGCTAATAGGAAAACTTGCAGCATTTTTCTCCTTGGCCAGATTTCGAAAGTTTGTTATCGGAAACAAAACTTGTTTTGCCAGGTATACTAATATATTCACCCTTCGTTAGTTCCGAAACATCACGTCCTGAGGTAACTTAGATTACATCCCCAGCTGTGTCTCTTTGGATCCTGATAAAGTTATGTTCGACGCCTATAATGGCCGTCTAGTCTACGTGATTTGTAGATTAAAATACTCTCCAGAATGCGACGAATCAGGAGCGAAACTTTCAAGTTTAATAAACAAATATTGCGAACGTTCGTGGATGAGTTGGATAGAGGAAGAGACTAATAAAAATGTAGCAGGACAACTGCACTTAATATTAATGTATCGTGTAGTCCGCATTGTATTAATTACCCTGCTAATTTTCAGCTTAAACCCTAAAATCCGCCCAATGAGTGGCACGATGAAAGATAAAGGGCGCAACATGAAAGGCCTGTAAAAGGGCCAACATTCAATGAATATGTTTAAAAGTTTTTATCAAAAGCGAAACTAATAAATCATCTATATACTGAAGCTTTCTGAGTGAAATTCTGGAATTCAAAGGAACATATAGAATAGCAAGTTGGTTTAATGCCTGCAATTGAGCTTTGAAACTTGTTTCTGATACAACTTGTTTTATATACGATTTTTTCGTCCATTCATTCGAATTGTAAGCTGAGATAAAATGAATTATGGCAGCAAAAGCTGCGGAAAACTAAAGTATTTTTAAATTCCAGACAGGTCGTGAGATAAATTATTTCTTCCAGTTTGGTTCTCAGTTGCCGATCGGGATGGTGTCTTGCAATATTTAAAATTTTCAATAATTCAACGCCAGGTTTGAAGCAAGTAATTCGCTCTTGGATGTAAATCCATTACTGGGGAAATATTGGATATAGTGGGCCGCAGTATTCGGCGGTTTTCATTAAGGATGGCGCACTTTGCCTTCAAATTTTTGATTTGGTAGGAGGATTTAATGATAATTTTTGCTAATGATTGACCAAAAATAAATGTCTGGTGTGTGGGTGGCAGCGTTTAAACAGAGCTTTTCATATTGAATTGATGTTGCTTGAAAAAATGAACGATTTATTGAAACCCCGGCAGGTTTCCCGGTTATTTCCACTAAATGCAAAGTATATGGAACTCATGCCGTATAAGTTTCGCATTTTTGCTACTTTCCCATAATATGTGATTTCTGGTGCAAGTCACGAAGCGAAAAGAATCCATAAGAATAATGGATAACTGATATCTTCCCAAAAGGCCCACCAATAGTACTTCTTCATGAAATTGATAACTGTATGTGTTCTTGAGGTTGTGTTCGGTCCCCAAAGACCCCCCAACGATATTTTACCATTCGTTCCGTTCCCTTTTACGTTCGGTTCCTATACAATGGAAATTACGAACAAGTATTTATTGCATTGAAATCGTTCCCTGAGCGACAGGCATATGATCGTGCACGTACATATCCATCGACCTGTAAAACGCTCGAGTATACCGTTGGGTACAATTTTTATCAGCAATCTATTTAGTTGGAGCTGATATGGGGCTGGTATATAATTTCTGCGGTTGACATTTTATAGCGCCAGAAGAAACACGTAAACATACATTTGCGGTATGCTAATGGAATTGTTGAAACATGCCATTTAATGCTGAGCCAATTTGTATTCATACAATCATTGTCAAGGTCTAACTTGCTGTATGTTCAGAAGGTTTTCTTGAAGTCATGAACGACATGGATTCTTATGGCGTCGCTAACAACCAACACACAATGTTGACGATTGAAGCTGTTTAAAGCCTGCAACTGATGAGTTTTTCGTCGGTCAAAATAATTTCTTGCTGGCGTGTTCGCCTCAGTGATTCAAAAAGAGATTCTTTTCCACGTCGCCTGAAGAAAAATCCGAAAAGCTCATCAGTTTTACTGTGTGCATTTTCGACAGTTTTCACTTGCATTTTGAATAAACTTGTCAAGTGTTGGTGTTCAATGGAGCCCATTTTTTGGCCCTTTTCAAGAAGATATTCGAGCGTCCGAAAAATTCCTCTATTTTCAATTTTACTCCTGTTTTTTGGAGAGCGCAATTGAAAAACTAACCACAAAAAACATAACTAACGTTGTTCAAAACCTAACAACACTTAGCGTTTGGACTGCGATCTGACAAATTTGGACTAATTGTGATATTTGGTAAATTCCGATTGCTGCAGGCGAACTGATTTGCGTTTGAAGCGCTATTTAGTGCAGTTATTATTCGGTTAGAGCGTAGTTTTCAAAAAAATTAGTGCGTCCGATAAAGTTTTTACTGGGCGGCAAATGAAACAATGTAAAATCTGTGGAAATTCCGCGTTTTGCCAATTGGACAAAAATGGCTTTTTGTATTTCATCACCACAAGACTTCAAAATACACTTCAAATCTCGGAAACGTTTTTGAATTTTCCCCACATCTTGCCTATTTACAGAGTGGTGTTTAAAAATCAACTTTTTGGTCTTGCAGTGATACACTTTTTCCCTCGAATTATTTTTCAAAATATAGAGTTAATGTATTGGTTGGAGCAAATAGTAATTCAACATATCGGGTTGAATGTGCAAGTGATGAGTTGAAAATCTTCAAAGATCACAGATTTTGAGGGCAATTCTAATTAGGGTATTTTGTGGGCATCCCTGGATATCCAATTTTTCTATTTAATTCTCTATGAAGTTTCTACATGAGCTCTATATCGTGAAAAGCGAAGCAAGAGCAGAAAAGTTATCGCTTCCAGACCAAAACTTTGATTTCTTCAGGCCATTCGAAACGACCCGAAAATTCAAACCCATTTCGAGCTATTTGGTCTATTTTTCAACTTTTAGTGTTGAAAGCCAGAAAACCTTGCTGTTTGTCCAACTAAGAACATGCAGAACTTGGCAAAATTTTGAATTTTTTCATTTGCCCCTTCCATTTTAAAACACTGACTAACAAAAACAAATTGGTCAAGAAAAGGCTTCAATCAGTTCATTTCCAGTCAGGGCAAAATTGGCTGTGTAACGTTCTGTTTTAAGCAAACTTTTTGCCTGAGACGTTTATCGAACGATCAATGATCCAACAGTCTGCAAATCCAAGAAGTACATTAATTTTTCTCATAAGGAAACCATCTTTGAAATAATAAATCCCATTTGAATTTCTGCAATAATGAATTTAAAGCTCTTTGAACATAAGGGCCCGTATTTACCAGGCAGATTAACATTTACCCTTTCCCCATCTGTACTAATCCGTTCTAGTCCTACAAGGGAACTGAACAGTCGATAGATATCCAAAAAAGATAGAGCGTAATGAAAATGTCCAGTAAATTCTCATCAAAGCAGTGAGCACATAAATCACTTAGATACACAAGACCCTACCCTGTAAGGCTTTATATAGAAAATCCTGAAATCTAATAGGAAGCAGGAGAACAAAGTTTGCACGTTCCAGTTGAAATTCTATCGGTGATATGCCGTCGCTATGTGAGCTTACATGCCAGCTAATGAAGCGATTGTTTATAATGGACTGTGTATATTCAGGCAGCAGTTTGAATAGTTAGTTTTAATGTTTCCAGATAGTTTGGAATGTACAAAGAAATTGACTGGGGGGTTGCAACATATTTTCCATTTTAAATGGAACGTTGCTAATTCAATTAATTAGAGCCACTCGCTTGAGTGAATTATTAACGCAGGTATCAGATATCACGGGTGCAAAATTTGTGTAACACGAACCGGACATTTCATACAGGGAGAGATAGAGCAGTTATTCAAACTTGACGTGTCTGGAATACGGTACCCAACTAAATTCCCTAAAGCCAGACTAGAGCGGAAAGTTTGACTAAACAAGTTGCACACGAAATTACATTATTTAACTTTGAATCATACATAATTCAATTTCAAGTTACATAAATAAAATACGGTTTTGTCTCTATGGGGAATAATTTTTTCATTGAAAGCCAATTAATTATTGAATCGACAGTGGAACGTATCAATAGTCAACATCATTAAATTACCGTCGAATATTTGAACTAAGCCATTGCCTTAATGTGTCTCTTGTCGCTAACAATTACCGTAATGAGAGCTGCTGATAATAAAGAATTATTTGTAAATAATGAATTAATGGCTGAGCGTATTGTGAACACGTTGCATTAGTTACCATGTCTAGATCCTGAGATTAATTAATTTCTACCCATTATACATATTTCAATGCTATTATTAACAAAGAGGTCTATGTTATGCTTTGTGCGACAGTCGCCATTGTGATTATTGTCTCTTCCTAATTAATGCCCGTAAAGCAAAAAACCTCCAACATTGCTACCTTAAATAAATCTGTTTAAATTAATTGAGGGGACTGTCGCACTAGAAACAGAGGAGAACAATATCCTGCTATGTTTTGCGTCACAAGAGCCAAATAGGAAAGCAACTGTTGCACATACGCTGCTTAAATCGCATAGAAGAGTTTCAAAATATGTTAATAAGATTTTTATTTTTTGCAGGTCTTCATTAAGTGGCAGAATTTGGAAATCAAAGGTGAGCGGAAGCAGCAACATCCCCATCAGCATCAAGAGAATTTACATTGTATAAAGAATAGATTTACATACAACTATAAAATGCTACATGTTTGGCCGTCAGACGTAATCCATTGTTAAATGTAATATCATATTAATAATTGTAAAATATGTGTTTTTATGGGTCCATAATGAAATGTTGTTTAGAGCAATGCTTTTCTTTATTGGTTCAACCATCCTGCTATTGGGTTCAGTTTCAATAAGCACTTGGCTGAAAACTCTTGACAACATTTTTCACTGTTAGCTTAATGCACTGTTTTTTTTATTTGGGACTTAAACTGTCTACTGGGATTTTTCTGGCAAGCATTCTGTGACGTTGCAAGTTATTTGAAATGGATTGTTTTCTCTTCTTAGTAGAAATTCGATAATTTGAATTCATATCAATGTGGTCAACAATTCAAGCAATCCGAATTCTTAATCTCCAAGACTCATTAAGTCGCCTTTTAATGCAATAAAACGTGTCAAAATTACCATTTGCATACAAAGTCGATTTAACAGTGAACTTAAGTGGCAAAATGTCGCGTCCTGGCAAAATTTTCACTGTTCATAAATTCTCAATTATTTACCACTACATACTACTAAATATACGTAATTTAGTCTTTGAAATTTAAGCACCGGACTGAGAGGCAAAAACTAATGTACATATTAAGAGAGAGGTACGATTTTTATATTTCCCTTAAAATTAATTTTTAATAAAAGCTTTTCCTAATATATTTTATGGCGATTTGAATGCGAAGATTTCTGTATTAAATAGTGCAATTGAGTCAACTAATTCACTATACAAATTGTAGTGAACTAATGCAAATCTGGCGTTTTTATGTAAATAAATGGTTTAGATACTCTTGTTTATATGTTTTTGATGTTTTTTTGTGAGGAAAGTGTCCTGCCATAACCACCACGATCAAAACTGAGGAAAAATAGTTAAGCAGAGCTGAATGTTGAAATTTGCCAACGTCCTTTGTATGTTTCACGTTCATATTTATTAAGTTGTTTTTAATGTACATAAAACAGTGAATAAGTTGGCTATCGCAACGCTACCATTTTTCCAAAGGTCTAAATGCGGCATGAATGTTTAGTGAATCTACTTGTGATAAAATAAATTATTTAATGTTGTATTATAAAAACATTTTTCTTAAACATTTTATTATATGTTGGCCTTTGTAAATATTATATTGAGTAGCTTAATGAGAATATAATAAATGATCAAATTGTAATCGACTGTGTTTTAATAACCTGCCCAGCGAAAATGGAGCGAAGGCAGTTGTAGAGCAGAGCAGCAGATTTGGTGCAGGTTCAGTGAAAAATTAAATATTGCGATTCATAGAAGAAATTCATCTGTTAGTAATAAAAAAAGTTTTTACTTAAACCTCCATTCGATGCTCTTTCAACACAACGCATGTGTTCCGACAGCTCCCGAGAATTTTCTTCATATAGGCAGGCAATTTGTACTACCTCCAGTACAAAGTTGCATTTTTTGCTCAACACACGTTTTATGTGTTCAAATAGCTTTTCAATAATTCAACTCGATTGGTTGAAACCAGCGAGCGAACCCAATTTATCACATTAACGCCCACTAATCATTTTCGATGTACTTTTACCCGTATCAATGTCTTTATCCCGCACCAATGCGATGCTTTTCGCCGGAAAATAATTACCTCCAGAAAGGCATTTTGCCTAAAAATACGTGATGGGAAGCTCTTGTTCCTTCAATTTCAATGTGGCTCATCTGTGGGAATTTCCAAAGCCGATTCTCCAACCTCGATTGGATCAATTGAACTGAACGTGTGGATACCGTGTTGGTAAAGAGATCAGCGATAATTCGCCAGGATGCGATGGCAATTAAGTTATTGTTGGCTGAAATTGAATTTTTATCTCTGGATTCCATTAGACTAACCTGATGGAAATGTACATTGAAGACCTCCAGAAATTTCATAAAAAAGCTTGGATCAATAAACAGAGTGTTACAGTAGTAGACCAGTCTGATATCGGGAACTTTTCCTCAATCCATTTGCTTATTGACTTTCATAGGGCTAAACGATTAAATATGGATGCTAAAACATAACAAAAAACTACTTATAAGTTTCGTTGATGATATGTAAAAAGCAACTGGGTTTTTCTGGAAAAGCAACCGCCATTACGGAAAGTTTTCAATGTTTATCACATGTGCGGGATTTCATCGAATTTTGCGCCAGATTGTTTTGCTACACAGAAAATCTCCTCAGAAAAATGGCAAAATAAAAAGGAAAGCCCTAGAGCTCTTTCACCGAAACGTAAGGAAATGTAAGTAAAATTTTATCCTATATTCCGGCGTTCGTATAGTTTGATTTCTACAGGGAATAACTGCCTGTGACAACGAAGACATTATTACACGGAAGAATTTATTTTCTGCTGGTGTTAAAAGAATTCGCATTTATTTTATCAGGCGATGTGGAACCTGTTTCGTTCGTAATCCTTTCAAAAATTGAATTTGCCTTCCGATCAATAAATACCATCAGCATTGTACTGAGAGAATACAGTTTGTCGGATTACAGCACTGTGTTTCGTTTAAGAAGGTTGAGAAGTAAATGATGCGAAACAGGGACGGATTTCAATCGATTGTGCAAAGCAACCATGTGTTCAAAAAATCAACTTTATTTGATACTCGCGAATTACTGGGTTTTATGGAAACATCATGCGTTTTTATGGGAATTTTCTCTGTTTATTCTCTGAATACTAGTTATTCAATTTTTGGGTCAATCTCTATCTGGTTTCTTAAGAATTTGAAATAAAACATCCATTGATCCTCCAATACAAGCGTATTGATTTGGAAAAATTTCCATCGATACTAACTAAACAAAAAATTAGCACAAAAAAAGCTGAAAAATTAATTGGAAAAAGCAGCATCTTGAGTGTGCTCAGTGGACCCATAAAACTGAAATATTTACCAAACGAAAAGAAGATTTATAGTTAAAAACGTTTCGTGCACCCGATTTATTCCAAAGCCATCGAACAGAATGCCTTCTGTGTATCCCTCGAAACCATTAAGGTTTCATATGATCCATAGGGAATGAGTGTGGATCCGAAATCCCCCACAGTTGTCTTAGTGCCCCGAATAAACGTGTTGAAATAGAAATAAGCCCAAGATCCAATCACATATTGGATAGCCTGCGAAAGGTAATTGTTTGGAAGCGAAGGGTTGATTGAATGTTGTTAAAAGGAAATCGGAATACTTGTTACAGAAAATGCGAATGGAAATTCATCATTATTTCCCCCAGCTGATTCTAAGCCAAAAATAAATAAATTTGCATTAGATTGACTGTGACCTGATTTGTTTTTTATGATAAATCACTGTGTATTTTTGTACATGAACACAGTTTTTTAAAACAGAGATTCTCCTTCAATAATCTGAGAGTTTTTAACAATTTAATTGTGTTAGAGCAAAATTAATATAACTTAATAGCTGGAAGTTTCCAGTGATTAGCTTGATAACATTTTCGTCAAAAACCGTTCACTCAAAGTTGCTAATGCGTTGTAAGAGTTTTGTTTTAATAAACCAGCAAAATAGCGTGTAGACGTCTATAAGCTCATTGTTATAGTTTATCGTTCTCCGCTTCTTTGGCCACGTTTTTAAATTTCCACGATAGGGAAAAGGTTTGCATGTGCCGGTTGCATTAGTTTGCGTTTAAACAGAGCCTAAACCTCCGTTGAAAGGGATAAAAAATCAATATTAATAAAAGCTAACACCATGTAGAATGCACGAAAATGACATTTAATTAGAATATTGTAGAATTATGTTTATTTTGATATACTGTAGAACATGCCAGACATGCATGGAAAGGCTAATAATGTCAAGTAAATTTATACGGCTTGCGATTAGATAAATAAAATGGCAGATATCGGGGTTTAATAATGGCTTTTGGGATTTTATTATAAAATACTCTATGTAGTTTTAGTACAAATAAGCTCTAGATTACGGCGATTAGCGCCATGCTCTACAGTTTTTGATAACGGTATGTTAATTAAAAAGAATACGTTTTAAAACACGGTATCACGTCATGTAAATTCAACGCAGCCCCATTAATAAAGTAATTTTATACCGCTGACTTTTATGCTGATTGCCGTCCGTTGCCAGTATCTTAAATGTATCTTAGAAGGGAAATAGCAAAGCCCTAAACACACATCTATGCAAATTTAAAAGCTTAAATGTATCTCAACCCCCGGGAGAAAACCGCAACAACTGCATGCAAATATGGCCCTCTCAACGGGATTCAAAACATTTTGCGAAATTACCATGAAACGATCGTCCTGCCGTTTCTGTCCCATTTTAATTTTGCAAATTATTTCGATCGAGTCACGCGAACCAATCAAGAAATTAGCCTAAACTAACATTGAATGACAGTGGAGGCAGCGTTGCATTTACCAGCGGTAACAGGCAATTAAAGAAAATTGGAAGAAAATTGCTTCACTTAACCAAAAGTCAGCTAATGCAATTGGCCTGCAGTTTATACCGGGGTTAATCGATTCAGTAATTAGCTTTAGAGATAAAGGAACTGGGAAGGTTTCCAGGGTTTTTCTGATCTGAATCTTAGATGTCGGATTTGCCCCCTAAGATCTACTGATTAGCATCGATTTTATTGACCCTTCAAATCCAGTAAATTTAAAAATTGCACTTAAAGAAAACGAGCTGTACTTTGTACAAGCAGTTTTATAAACGAATCGTTGATTTATGTAGCGGCAGATATATTACATCTTTAAAGAGGATTTCGCTTCATTTTTCTGCATTATTGATTTCAGTCTCAATATAAACCATTGCAATAAAAAATTGCAGGAATTTAAGCTTAAACCTACTGAGAAATTGAATGTTACTTTCTTTCGATAAAGCAAAACCTCACTAGACAAATGAGAATCTACATAAAAAAGTATCTTATTAAAACCGTATAAAAATAATTAAAAAGTATGGCTTGATAGTACCTGTTCTAACTAGTACTGACGACTAAATATTTGGTTGTACGCTTTTAGACTTTATCTACCCAAAACAAACTGCAAAAAACCCTGCAAAAAAGAAGCATCCACTGCGGTAGCAATCAATATTAAAACACATAAAATTTTCAAAAATTAATTGCAAAAATCATATCTGGCGATTTAATTTAATGGCTCCCCCGGTTGCTTATTCCTTTGATTATGCCATCCAAGGGGCTTCAAAGCCCGAATACCCAATAGACTAAGCCAACCGCCCCCTAGTCAAAAGTTTGCTTCGAACCATGAGATGAGAAACCATTAAGTAATAAATATTTAACGATTCCATCAAGTACAGCGAAATCCCCCATCGCAGCACTATGCCCGTTAAAGGTTATCTTATCATAAATAAATGGGATTTGCCTATAAGGCAACCTAAATATCTTATAAAGTTCGATAACACAATTAGCAGACACGCACTTTGATTAAACGGGTATTAGAATTATTTATGTGTCCCTTTAAAGGCGCAATCAGTCCGAAATTCCTCTCAAACCCACCAGGGAATGTCTATTTAAAAATCTCACTAAAAAACTTTCTATTATAACAAAACGTGCTTAGCAAAGCTTTCTGGAGTTTTTTAAATCTCACCGTAAGATCACAAGAAAGAACTCATTCGGATGTTTTCGATCGACAGCCTTCCAAAAATAAGTTAAGAAAAGGTGACAATTAAACTCCTTTAAAAGGCAAACGAAGGTTGTTTTGTTGACCCAAAATGTATGTGCAAGCAAGAGAAAAACAGGAGAAATTGTGCGGATACAAGCAGATTTCTGCGATTGCTGCAGCAAAAATTACAAATCTATTTTGGGCAGCCAACGTCGGAGGAAATCCACCCTTTAGCGCAGAAACTTACGCAACTCGACAAGCTCAGAAGATTTGGAGAAGAAACTGCGGAGATTTTTAGATCGTCGTTGAAAAAAAATTCCTCGGCGGCTTAAAAGCCCGAAAATTTAGCAGATTTTGTTTTGGTCTAGTTATCATTTTTGTTTAGACTTTGGGGTAAAGGGCGACAGAAGATGCAAGTTACTCGCGCTTACAAAACGTCGCAAAAATACTATTCAACGACGACCCAAAAATCTGGAAACTCACCAGTGTCTTTTCACTTCCAATTTGCACAATCCGTTAGCCAGTTTGTGCAAATTTGGGACTTTTGTGCGGAAATTTAACCATTTTGGACTTACATTTATCGTTGAAATACCGCTAATTGGTCCAGATCTTCTGG